CGGTCAAAAGAAATACAATCATAGTAAAAGGTCAGATAAGCGTAAATTTTTAAGTCCGTGGTTTACATCTGACTGTGAGGATGCAAGACGTGTATACAAGGCATCGAATAAAAGATACAGATGCTCTAAGAATGTAGAAAACTATGAAATTTTAAAAGTTGCCCGAAAAAGATATAAACTAGTTAAAAGAAAAGCTAAAGCCAAATTCAAATTAAAACAGAAAGGCAACTTACATAATTTAGCAAGGAGTAATCCACAAAAATTCTGGAGCGAAATAAAAAAAGTTGGAAATAAAAAAAAATCCAGACAGTACACTGACTAAAGATGACTTTTATGACCATTTTAAAAATCTTTTTGCAGAGGATAATGTTTTTATTAATAATGATGTAGAAAATGAGCTTATGAATAATGATTTTATTAATGATAACGATGTGCAACAACTGGATAAGATGTTTGATATAATAGAGGTTGAAAAGGCTATTTCCTGTTTAAAATGTGGTAAAAGTGGTGGAATTGATATGCTTATTCCTGAAATATTTAAAGAATGTAATACAATTTTATCACCTGTTTTATGTAAATTATTTAATTATATGTTTGTAAATGGTTTTTATCCAGAAAGTTGGTCTAAAGGAATTATAGTTCCCGTACCCAAAAAGGGGGATATGAATGATACAAATAACTACAGAGGTATCACTTTGACTAGTATTTTTTCTAAAATTTTCTCTATTTTATTAGATACAGTGTAACTTCTGAAAACCGAACACCCATGGGTCTTGTCAAAAAGTTCGGATTTCAGAGGTTTCCGGAATTCAGAGGTTTCGGATAATGTGGACAAGACTAAGCCATTACATGTCACTAAATGTCAAGGAAAATGTGGCCATTACTGTTATATCATATATAATAGTCTTTTAATCAAGATAAAGATGTGAAGGATATTTAACACTTAATTTAAACTTGCATATTGTCCGATGCTAGTTAATTAATTAGTACATCAAATGCAATAAAATCCCTAAAGACTTTTGATGCACACATTGTCCCAATTAATTGTCATTTAATCCGCTAATAAACACTTCAAATTAACTGACCGCCGTAAATTACTTTAATTGACCGCATCACTTCAAACATGCCATTTCTCAGTTTGTGATTTTAACGCGTGTCCAATTACACGATCACCGCTAATTAGTAAACAATTGACAGGGAGATTAAATCTTCCTGCAGGGTAAACATTCTCGATTTACAATGTATTTCACACCTTTAGATATTTCCAGATTTTGGAGGTAAAATTGCATTGATTTGACTCTAATTTTACGAAAATATCGTCCGGAATTCAGAATTTAGAAGTTCCGGAATTCAGAAGTATTATATTAATAGAAAATAGAAGGGGAAAAATCGGGACCGAAAAAATTGTTCGGTTTTTAGAAGTTTCCGGATTTCAGAAGTTCCGGAATTCGGAAGTTACACTGTACTCGCTTAAGAGCTTGGGCAGAAGAAAATGGTTTATTGTCTGAATACCAATTTGGTTTTCGCAAAGGAAAGAGTACAGTAGATTGTGTTTTTGTATTAAGTTCAATTATAAATCAAGTGTTAAATTATGAAAATAAGAAACTATATTGTGCTTTTGTGGATTTCCGTAAAGCCTTTGATGTTGTTTACAGAAATGGAATATGGGTCAAAATGATAAGATACGGGACTTCACTTAAAATTGTTAAAGTTTTGCGTTCTATGTACGAAAGTGTTAAATCATGCATAAGAATAAATGGTGATTTGTCTGACTTTTTTGAAAATAACTCAGGTGTAAAACAAGGGGAGCCATTATCTCCCCTATTATTTATTTTCTTTATAAATGATATGTATGACTTTTTGCTTAATGATGTAATAGATGTTTTTAGTTTAGATAATGTACAGTTATTTTTACTGCTTTTTGCAGACGACACTGTCTTATTTTCATACTCGAAAGAAGGTTTACAAATTTTGCTAAATAAACTAAATCTATATTGTACAACATGGGGTATAAATGTCAATATTAATAAAACTGTTGTTATGGTATTCAAAAGGGGTAATAGACCAGAAAATATTGATTTGCTCTATGGTCAAAATAAGTTAAATATTGTGACAAAGTGTACTTATTTAGGTGTAACATTGTCATCAAATGGTTCTTTTTACCAAGCTCAGAAGTCATTGTCAAAACAAGCGTTGAAAGCATCATTTTCATTGTATGCATTGTTTGATAGTTTACAAATGGATATTACTGAAAAAATGACATTGTTTGACTCAATGATCTTACCTATATTGAATTATGGATCAGAAGTATGGGGTTTCCATAAAGCTCCTGATATTGAAAAAGTTTATCTGAAATTTATGAAAAATGTATTATGCGTACGGCAACAAACGTCAAATTTAGCAACTTATGGTGAACTAGGCAAAATTCCCCTTATAGTATTGAGGAAAATAAGTATAGTAAAGTTTTGGCACAAAATTTTGAAATCCCCAAATTCATTAGTGTATAGAGTTTATAATTTAAGAGACGATCACGGTAATATTATTAATAATTGGTCAGCGAAAGTAAAAGATTTGCTTGATGATATGGGATTTTCATATTTATGGAATATGCAAGATGTTACAGATATACAAATAAATGCGGTTATCGAGAGAATATATGATCAATATTTACAACAGTGGTTTAGTGATATACTAAGTTCTCCGAAATTAGACACTTACTGTTCATTTAAAACTGAATTTAGCTACGAAAAATATCTTAGCCTGATATTAAATGATAAATATAGAATAGCGTTTACAAGATTAAGATGCTCAGCACATCGACTTTTTATAGAGGAAGGCAGATACAGAAATATTGAAAGAAATGATAGAATTTGTATTAATTGTGATATGAACAAAGTAGAAAATGAATACCACTTTCTGTTAGTATGTCCTAAGTATAGAGATCTAAGAAGGGAATGTTTACCAAGCTATTATTGTGTTTGGCCTACTATGAATAAATTCAAATATTTAATGAATACAAATTGTGCTCAGTTGCTGAATAAAACAGCTAAGTTCATTTATTTGGCAAGTAATAAACGTGAGTCATTAAATTGACATAACATTTCACTATACCTGTATTTTTAACGACGAGTGTCGTTTAACTTCATAGGATACAATTTAAGTATAGTTTATAAAAACTAAAGTTATTAAGTTTCTGATCAAAATGAATGTCTAACAAACATGATATCGGTTAAAAAAAAAAATTTACATCAAATAATCATAATAAAATATGTGCTCTGAAATAAATATAATGTATGTAATTTAATAATAGACTAACATACATGTGCGTTTATTTAAAGGGTATAAAGCTATAATCTTTACAACATGTATCATTTATAAGACTATTTCTTTCATAAAAACATTTTGGAAGTATTCTGCTTTTTTTTCAGATATAACATTACTTGTTGTAGCGGATATATAGCTTTATACACTTTAACAAAATTATTGTCATGAATTATGCGTATGTATATAGTTTGTTAATGTTAACTGAACTGGTGTTGGGTAACAGTAACGAAGCTGATAAAATGGTCATTCTAGCAAATTGTCTGACAAGTGATAACCAGACGTCAATTACTCTTGAAGCTATCTAAATATATACATGTACTTGATTATCATGTAATGGTACTCTTTTTATTTTGTTTCGGAAAAGAGGTACCTGTACGTGTTACGTTGCTACTTAGCTCCTTCTGATATGCTATTTATCGTATAGCATGTCTTTGTAAGGAACATAAGGTTCAAAAGCGATTGAAATATTACTATATATCATTTTCCAATATACCCTTCACCAGTTCTCACAATGATTGTATATTATGTATTTATATGTCTCATATTTATGTTCTATGCACTTATCTAGTGGGTTTCTTTTTTTGTACTTTGTATAGAAATTGGAACGATAAAAGCTTTGTATGTTTGGTAAGAGATTTAAAAAGATTGGTTTATTAAATCTATTTACTAATTAATTTATAATTATCTCATTCTCGTTATGTACATACTTTTCTCATTATGTGTTTATTGAACCGCCGAACATGGCGATGGACATTGTAAAATGTTTTTGCCAATAAATATTTTGAATCTTGAAATCTTGATCAATCCCACTACACTATAGTCAATCAGGATGATAACGCTTTATCAGACATTCGTGCTTACTTTATAGGCGGGGCTTAATATGCTAAGTGTTCTATCCTATGATTCAAATTATCAATTAGCAACAAAAAAAGGTCTTCAAATCAATGAAATTACTTAAACCGAATTCTGATAGCGACAATATCATAATACCTTTAAGATGTTGCCAATCAGGGTTATAAATGAAAAAGGGAGACAAAAGAAAAATACTTATCTATTGAGAATTGAATTTCAATTGTATCTTTCTAGAATAAGCTTTCTAGCGTCAAGATTACATTACTAGTATATAGCAGCTCAAAACCTCGATGTTTAGGTTCATTAAAACAAAAATACTTTTTGTTAAATGGCAATTACAGTAAAAAAATAACTATGAGAGCGTTAAAAAGTAAAATAATACTATTTTTAATCATGATTTTAACATGAATTTACATCTTGCGACATTTAACGGCAGTGTTGCGACATTTAACGGTATGGGAAATTCTTGCGACATTTAACGTTAGCAGTGCGACATTTAGCGGCAAATGATTTTGGGACATTTAGCGGCGGTTGCGACATTTAGCGGCAATGGTGCGACATTTAGCGGTAAGTGCGACATTTAGCGGCGTTGCGAAATATAACGGCGCCACAAACTCTATTACAAGTGGAGAAACTGACAGCGAACAGCATGGATCCTGATCAGACTGCGAGGATGCGCAGGCTGGTCTGGATCCATGCTGGTCGCAAACGCATTATGTTGGTTTTGTCGTGACGCGGCTCATTTGTGTTTACAGATTCTCAATATTGAGAATGATTATCGTTACACCGACGTGATAGTTCTGTTGACAGCATGTTGACGGGTTTGAACCAATGCGGCTAGCGATCATTAGAATACAGTGTAACTTCTGAAAACCGAACACCTATGGAACAAGCCAAAAATTTCGAAATTTGGAAGTTTCCGGAATTCAGAAGTTCGGAATTACCTGAACAAGTAGAAACATTATTCGGTTAACATTGAAAATCAATTGTTTAAGACATGATGAAAAATATAGGAAGCTTATCAAATCCAAAAAATGGCAAAATTATAGGACTTAAAAAGTTATTACTACATTGTATGTTAAGTTATTAAGTTTCATTATCACCTTTTGCATTAACTCTCGGTGATGTCCCTGACTTATTACAACAACTCTCGTAAATGCACTTTTTCAATAAACATTATTATATAAACAAACGGTTTACTAAGACAACATGAAGTATTTAATTAAGTTATGATACATATTTATTATCGTTCACAAATGAAAAATCCCTTGTCATTGCATTCCTTGTTATGCCACGTGTACGAATGGTCATCACCCCGATGTATGCACACACAGTCTTTGTCATGTCCATGTCCAGTAGTGTCCGGCTGATGGTTATCCCAATCATTTGTATTGACATGTACTGCATTGCCATTTACCCAAGAGAAATGGTCATGATTATTGAAGTCTCTGGCACCAACCCAATACATATCAGTGTGGAGTCCTAAAAAGATCAATACATATCAGTGTGGAGTCCTAAAAAAGATGACATTAAGTATCTTAAATAGTGTCATGTAAATAAACACGCCAAAATGAAAAAGGACTTAACAGGTATAATGCCAAGCCTGAAATGTGTATAAGTCATAAATGTGTCGTAAAATTATACACAACGTTCGGTAGAGTAATATGTTGTAATAAGATATAGAAATATCTTTCAAAATAATAAAACATGATACGAATAATTAAGAAAATGAATACATGGAATAATGAAGTTATTTCTAAAAAAAGAGAGTATACTTTCAGTAAGTGTATAATGAAATTAACAACAGTCTCTAAAAAAATTACAATGCAATTTAACGTTAAGGGGTTGTTGGTCGTATTTCAAAGACTTTATCGAATTCCTCAATTATTTAAAACCAACTTCTATATAAAATTTTCAAATGTTCGTATATCATGCGTTTATGGAAGTGCACATAACTAACCATATGCTACAAAGATACCATTTAAAAAGCGTTATTTAATGAAAGCAAACGCATGGTAGAATATCATATTAACCAACAGTTAATTTATGCATGACCGCTCCAAAATCCATGGAAATTTTTATACAAAAAAAAACCCCAACATACGAGTATGTCTTATAATGTATTTCCTGATGAGAGCAGCTTTTGCGTGTGTGTCCAGGACGACAAGTTCTGAGTTTATTATTTGACATCTGTGTCTTGCATAATCCCATGTTTTGTGACTGTGGTTTTGTACAAAATAGACACACATTTGCGCATGCGCATTGTGTACATACTCGAATCCGTCACTGGTATTGCAATGCCCGTGAGTTGAAGTTGCTAATGTGGTTATATGTGTTATTCTTTCAGTATGAATACCTACAACATTATTCATATTGATTTTTTTGAAATATATATTAATAAAATCGATATGATTTCGAAATATTCAAAGTTTAAGGTAAAGCTGTGCACGTTTTTATGTTAAATCATGTTCATAACAAAATGTAAAATGGCAGAAGAACATCAGATGAGTCGATTTATAAACATATCGTTCAAATATTAAATTATGAAAGGCTTTTGAAGGCTTTTACTCATCTATCGGCTAGGAAGACATCCTTTGCTTGACATTCTTCATAGCTACATAAATAATGCAATTTCGGAAATAGGTTGTTGAAATATTAAACATTGTAAGACGTATCTTTGTGTGTGTATTTGCGTTTATTTATACTCGCCACCGGTTGCCCATATGGGCGAGTCCTCCAGAAGAGTATTAGTCATTTTATTTTTTTGGAGGATAGTGCAATTACAGATACAGAAAGATGCCCCAATTCCAGAAGCTTCTCCTGGTTCTTTAGCGTGCCAAGTGTTTAAGCACCCATACACGGGACCTCGATTTAAAGTCTCATCCGAAAGACTGATTAGTAATTTTAGTTGGCCAGCCCGGGAATCGAACCCACAATGTCGAGATTACAAGTCTCGCGCTCTAACCGATTGAGCTATGCTGGCTGGCAAAAAGACGTATCTCTAATTGTACAGACCTTTTGTAGATGGCGCAGACGTTTGGCTAGTTGTGGCTGGCGTTGTAGCAATAGTGGTATTTGTAGGAGTTTGACACCTATCATTGCAGAAATCCGTGTCACAACACATTGTCAAACAGTTGTCATTGTTTGACGTTTGGCCAAGTGTATAACAGCCCTTAAAAATTATATACTCATATCTAGACCAAACCTCGTAATTTACCAAATCCATAGCTAGCATATCATACAATTTTAGATCTGTTTACATAAAACTTTTCAAGTTTTTCCCAATATTTCATGAAAATTAATGTCACTTTGAAAACGCGCATGCTTGTCAAAAACGTTTTAAGACATTTAAATATTATAAGTTATATCAGTGTCCTTTGAAAGAAACCGTTCAGCATGATTCACATAAATTATACACACTTGCATGCTCTCGTTGAATATCATCTTGTGGTATGAAAATTATCACATTTCACTCATGAAATATTTATTTACATACCACTAGATGAAAACAAATCCTGTACTTAAAGAAAAATCTTAAATGTCACGGTTCAGAACTGTTCACTATTTAGGGGGGAAGATGTGTAAGTGGCCGAATAGCTCAGTCGGTAGAGCTGCGGTACGGTATTCAGAGGGTTCAGGGTTCGAGTCCCGGTCAGGCTGCACATTTTTCTCACCCTGATACATTTGGCGCCCAACAGGGGACCGTGATTAAATATAGCCCAGAGTTTAATTCACATTGCTCTGTAACTCTGTGAAATCGAAGACGAATTTCAATATAGCAGGGGAGTATGTCACGGTTCAGAACTGTTCAATATTCAGGGGAGAAATGTGTAAGTGGCCGCATAGCTCAGTCGGCAGAGACGCGGTACGGTATTCCGAAGGTCCCGGGTTCGAGTCCCAATCAGGCTTCACATATTTCTCACCCTGTGACATGAATATCCTCTATTTATTGATTTGACATTTTTGAAAGAGGAATACAATTATAAGCTTACCGTTTTTGTTTCACAACGACCTCTATAGATTGTTTCCGGAAGACCACTGAACTCGGGTGGTGCATATAACACACACATCTGAAACGTTATATGAGCCGCGTCACGACAAAACCAACATAGTGGGTTTGCGACCAGCATGGATCCAGGCCAGCCTGCGCATCCGCGCAGTCTTATCAGGATCCATGCTGTTCGCTGTCAGTTTCTCTACTTGTAATAGGATTGGTAAGCGAACAGCATGAATCCTGATCAGACTGCGCGGATGCGCAGGCTGGTCTGGATCCATGCTGGTCGCAAACCCATTATGTTGGTTTTGTCATGGCGCGGCTCATATTATTTATCATGTGCAAAGTGCATCTAATAATTAACATTTTAAGGCCCATTATGCCCATGGAAAGCTTCTGTTTCTGTTTTTCTAAATATTTTTTATTTTTGGGGTCTTGTTATAGTTTCCAAACATTTACTAATTGGTCAATTACCTGAGCGATCTTTTGGTGTTGCTTTTTGGCAACTAGTACAGAAATAGTGATCTAGTATTTTGCATGGAAGTCATAATGCTACTTTGTTTATACTTTGCTACTTTTAATGCAAATAATTTTACATTCATAAAGCCATAATTAAAGGAGGGAAAAATTATTTGTTTCCGAGTCAAAATGTGCCTTTAAAAAGTTTATATATATATTAAGCAGGACATTTTCTATTAGACACTGAAATCTAACCCACAAAAGATATACAAAATATAAAAAGACGTTATGAATATTTACTTCGTCAGCGGCACAGATGTCAACGTCATTGCAGTCGGTTTTGGGATTTAGGACGTCACACGTAAAGCAATACGGTCCTCGTTGGGAGAAAGGTATTTCTGAAGATAAAGCAATGAAAATTAAAACTAATGCGATAAAAATTTATGTAAACGGGCAGATATATTCTACTTCTTCTATATCATCAACAAGTATAGCTACTTTAATTCAGTTCATTCATATTTCATTCAATTTTACTGATTGTAAATACAAACAACAAACTTATTGTGTGGTGGTGGGGGTCAAAATGTAAATGAACTAAGAAGAAAATTACAAAGTCGTTGAAGAATCGCGTTGATATTTATTTATTGTGATATCTGAAAACAAAACAATATTAAACATATATATGATTTTGATAACTTTATCAAGTTACAAACAATAAAATATTATTACATTCAAGATTTCAAGATCTTGAATGGAATCATGTTTTATTGTTTGTAACATGATAAAGTTATCATAATCATACAGTGAAATGTCAATTTCGACAATAAAGTGATGTTGTCTGTAAGAAAGGTCTGAATGTTGCACACAAGTTACTAGTATAGAACTACAATAAATGGTTTAAACAATCCAAAAATATATTCCCAGTACCTTCATGCCAAAACAATTGTAAAAGGCATCCCTTCAAAATGTAAAAAAAGCAAAACGGCTCGGCTTAATATATGCCAACATTAAATGTCCTCCCAGTGCATACAATAATGTCTTGCATGGTATGACAGCTTTAGTCACAGGTAAAAAAAATCGTGAAAAGGGTTGATCCTTCGGAAGCAATGATAACCTTAACGTCACAAGAAGAAACCTTATAAAATAAACATATTTGAGCCGCGCCATAACAAAACCAACACAATGGGTTTGCGACCAGCATGGATCCAGACCAGCCTGCGCATCCGCGCATTCTTATTAGAATCCATGTTGTTCGCCTTCAAACCGTATAACATGTAGAGAAACTGATAGCGAACAGCATGGATCCTGATCAGACTGCGCGGATGCACAGGCTAGTCTGGATCTATGCTGGTCGCAAACCCATTATGTTGGTTTTGTCATGGCGCGGCTCAAATTTTCTTAACCGTTTGATCCACATCCATTTCTGTTACAGTAGTCACTAGAGCAACATTCCTCACACGTTGTCATGTTAGTGGAGCGGTGTTCTACAACACTTGTTGATCTTCCTACCAGCGGCGCAGAATCGACTGGACAACTCTGAAGTAATCCCATTAATGACTGACAGTCTATGACTTTCTTGAGATTTTATTTCATCTTTGCAGAAGAAAATAAAACAAGTGTTCTTACAAGTGAACATTTAACCGGAAGAAGTTATCAAGAATATTGCTGAATAAAATAGCGAAATATATGAATGGACTGGATTTTACAATTAGTTATGTAGATGTTATAACTTGTTTAAATAAATGAGAAGAAAACATTTAACTGCTCTGAAGAAAAAAATTTTTGATTTTGGATGTTGTTTTTTTTTTTTTAATTTGAAATTAAAAGACTTTTCTTTATATATAAGATGATGAAAAAAGAGACTAGATTATATTACAATATTAAAAAAAAGAAATAGAAGTGTGTTATATATTTTCTAACTGAATATGTGTTCATTTGAAAAGAAATACATCTTTATTTTGTTTATAATATCAACGATATTCATCTCAAGGAATCATAGTCTCGTCAATGTTAGGCGGCTTAAAATCGCAATTTAGAAGCTTGTTAATAATACTATAAAATTTCATAGAGACAATATTATACAAAGTTAAACAACTGGATGCATCACATTGATATACGTGAATATATAAGTATACATGTATATCTTAATGAAAATTTGAGTCATTCAGAATCACACACGTTTAAACCAATACAAATTTAATAGATTTATTTTGTTTCAAAGACGGTAAAAATTGTGTCACCTTTGTGCAGTACAAATGTAAAGGTTTCACACATTACATTACTGCACGAATGTCACGAAATATAAACAAAATACATGGGTATAGCATGTAAATATGTATTTATAATGTAATATGTACTGTACCGACTTTGGTTTGCATCCTGAATTATACAAAATAAACCCATCGGCTGTTACAACTTGTTGTACAAAACAGATCTAAAATACAAATGTAAATAATGAATATATGAATAATGAATAATCATTAAATCTGTGGAAAAGGATATGACCAGTAACCAATTTACCATTCCAAAATATTGTTGTTTGTTATTTGGGGATACGGACTAAAATCAATTAACTAGTTCAGATTTTAGTCCTAGATTTTAGGGAGAAAATTACCTGAAATCAATTTACCAGTCCAAAATATTACTGTTCTAAGAATGAAAGAAATACAATGTGTCTGAAAGTCAATAAGTGGCATATATGTAAAACTGTTAAAAAAAAAATCAAAAAAAAGAAAGATATAAACACTAGTAAGTAGATGCAGTATAGTTCATTCATTTGTCTGTGATTTTAATAAAAGAACAATAATGAGCGTTTTTTTGAGTTAATTGATATCTTTATAATATTACCTCATCGGAGCTACATAGCTTCAAGTTTTTGCACTCACGTGGATAAACTACATTCTGACATTGGAAACACTTCGTGCATTCACCTATAAATAGGGAATAATACTTTTACATCAATTCATTTTGAATATTTTTGTCGGATATCCGTAGGATTTTTTTTCATTGTTACCATGGTTACTTGTATTAAATTATTGTTTGTTGACAATAAAACTTGGATGGGTTGCTGGTTATATTGGTGGATAGGTAGGAAGATAGGTTTGTAGGTAGGTGGGTGGGTGGATAGGTAGGTAGATCGTTTATTATATATTATGTATATTACAAAATAATTAAACACTTAGCCCATGGCCATGTAAGTTACATTAAAGCTTCCCTCCCACACAAAACGGGTCTAAAAACATCAACATATTTGTTAAAAGTTATTCAAAATACATAGAAGTAAAATCTGCATTTTCCACGAGATAACTGTGACCTAACGGTTGTCATGTTTCATAAACATCCCTATTATCACACCCCATAACATGTAGCTAGAAGGACAGCTTGATGCAAGAAGAACTAACAGTTTAAAACCGGTGTAGTGACCCTTCCACCGGACTATCGAGTGTATGAATTATTGTGCAACAAAGGATTGCAGGACAAAAAAAAACTTATTAGAATCAGCGTCACTAGTCTAGCCACACAACAAATCGAATTTCTCCACAAGCAACCGTTCCGTGTAAACAATTAATATAAATAAGCGATTGACTACAGATACATAATTCTTAAACATTAAGACAAAAAACTGTCCCTGCAAAGCATAGATTCTATAACACTCGTGAAACTCAAGAGATGTAAATAAGATATTTATACCTCATAATGAAATTTTCACAAAGGATTTATAAAATTGTTACTAAGAACCTAAGCTATATAATGAGCAGGAATGACTGTCATATCTTTGTAATGACATTTTATTAAAAAAAAAGAAACAAACAAAAAAAACCACCAAAATTATGTACAATGTGTGAGATAGTAGCTTCAAAGTGGACTGGTCTATAATTGGCACATTTTCCACAAGTACATGTACTAGTATTTCAAATATTGATAAAAACAATTTATCGTTTGTATTTCATAGAATAAAAGTTGAGTGATTTAGTATGTCCATTAATATGACATAATGCTCATATTTTCATAGTCAAGTTGAGCTGAATTGACTTTATATTTCAAAAGATTTGACTGTTAAAATGGTGTTTGTCCAACAGTTGATATCAGAAGAGGTTCAGGATAAAAATTATAAATCTGCCAAAAATATAAAAAGACTGTCCCACTCCTTTTTTTTTTAAATCGAGCGTTTTAGGTAAATTCTAACAGATATTTAAAGAAATTTTATTTGGATCTGTGCATTATTTATTGTTTATGGGAAGTAAATATTAAATTAAAAGGAATTAATAAAATCTTACTTTGATACTCACTTGTTCACTCACTATACGAGTCACTTTAATATGACGAAAAATAAAATTTTGTTCTGGAACATTTTATTATCTGCTATATATATAGATATGAGATGGCATGTATCTTACACTTATCAACAACAACCATATATAATTATCCATATACATGTATAACTATTTCTTTTTGTTACAGTTATTGTTTTTGTTGTTGTTGTTTGGACAAGTATAATACAAAATACCATCAGTATAATTCTTATGGTATTACAGACCTTCAAATATAGACCAATTCACTTTAACTAAGTGAATAATAAATTACGCCAGTGTGTATAAATTGTTATATATACAAATCAAACAGAATAGAGAAGTACCAAAGGCTATGATTTTCAGCTGCACAAGCATGATGTGAAAATAAATCCAAAATTATGACAATATCTGTTAGGATAACAAAATATGTGAAGTCTCAAAGTAACTAATTTTGTCGTATTGAATAAATGAACTAACCAATAGAAACCAAGGATAGTAAAATGCCCAAGAAAATAATCATTATAATTCCTTGTAATCCAGTTTATAATATAACTTTTGTATAAATATTTAGATAAGAATAAGGGGTTGTTACGTACACAATCTATTTATAGCAAATTAGCTTCGCGAAATTGTCCCATAACCTTTGGACATTTTCAAGATAAGAACAACAAAATAAAATCTGTGCTGAGCAAAAATACCCGAAGGAAAGGAAATACATGTATATTATTTGAAATATACATGTTTATAAATAAAAGATAACATATGTCTTTCAGGACAATAGTGCATATTAGCAAGGGTTGCTATAATGCACTATTTGCTTGGTTTTTTGTTTGTTGTTGTTGTTTTTTTTCGTCATTGATGGACCAGGGGAGAGAACTATAACATTATGTTTTCTTAAGTCTCTATATAGATTCTCGCCCCTGGAGAATAGTGTGTTGCACCATGTAGCGACACATTAGGCTATATATAGTAAAATGTTTACGTGAGGTATAATAAATAAAGTAAAATATTAGTGGTTTTTTTTTTTCTTCAATAAATTCAAATATTAGTGAATAAGTTTGAAGGCGAAATTTATCCCATTATAATTATGCGTCCTTGATACTTTTAATGGTCTGATACATTTGTATTTTCAGTAATTATAATAAATAAATGAAGAATATAGCAATACATGGGGCTTACGTCTTAATGCCAGCAAAACAAAAACCATGATTTTTGAAAAAGGCCGACATACCAAATTTGATTTTTATCTTTATAACAATCATATAGAATTAGTAGATTCTTTTAAATATTTGGGCGTTCATTTATATAAAAATGGCAATTGGAACCGAACACAAAAGAGAATTGCCCAGCATGGCTCGTACTCATTACACAATTTGTTTATTGTTTTTAACCAACTTGATTTACCCATGTCCAAACAATGTGACTTATTCGATTCATTGGTAGCTTCTACGTTAAATTACGCGGCTGAAATCTGGGGTCATCATGTCGGACCTGATGTTGAACTCATTCACTCCAAATTCTGTAGAAAAGTATTATCTGTTAAACGCTAGATACAAATTTAGACGCTCTTTACGACGAATTAGCTAGAATCCCGATGAGCATTCGTAGGCAATTAATAATGGTAAAATATTGGATAAAATTATTGACATGTAAAAAAGAATCTCTTCTTTTCAAAACCTATAACATGCTTAAAGTCGATGTTGAAGGAAATAACACATATAATAAATGTAATTGGGCTTATCAAATTAAAATTATACTTGATAAATGCGGACTTTCGTATATTTGGCAAAACCAATATAGCATGTTAATTGACAACAATATTATTTGAACGACGCATATTAGATATTTATTATCAAAGTTGGTATTGTTCTATCAATAATTCGAGACGACTGGATACATACAGTTCTATAAAATATAAATTTGAATTTGAAAGTCATCTTGACTAAAGACAAAAGATTTTGACTTAAGATTACAGACTTTTGCAATCATTCCACGACTTGTTTATTGAAAAGGGAGATATACAAACATTCCTAGACATGACAGAATATGCAATAGTTGTTCATCGAGGCAAATTGAAAACGAATTTCATTTTTGTTTACATGCTCACAATATGCTGACCTTCGCAAAAAAATATCTCAGACACTACTATTATACATGGCCTACATTGCAGAAATTTACTAATTTATTATTGTCTGAATCTAAAATAATTGTAAGAGATCTTTCTAAATATTTATATTATGCAAATTTGATTAGAAAATAGTTTTACAGAACCTCAAACACGTCACAATTATGAATTCATATGTTTTACATTGTATTTTTGTGCTCCTTGAAAAATCCATGTCTTCTGCCTATAATTATGTTGCATGTGCTATAAACATATATTGTATGTTTAACGCAATAAAATTATTTGAGTTGAGTTGAGAACTATCGGATTCAATAGGAAGCTACATTGTATATGAAGAATGACAACTGTAAGGCGCGTTGTTGCCTATACGCAAGTATGCAAATGATGGTTCAGCCATTTATGCCCCTTTGTGTATACGCTCATTTAAAACGTTAACACTTTCATAAAATAACATAACATTTTAAATATATTTTCTTATTTGGAGCTCGTAATTGTCTTTAAGTTCATAAGTCATACAATTATTGTTAAGACATGGGATATTCGAGATATTGTGTTAAATCGCTCTTGATTTTCTCTCTTTAAGTCGCTTTTCCAAGAAAATAGCATTAAAACGTGTGATTTTGCCACATTAAATATGCTTCTTTGATTTATCAAATGATTTTGATATTTGTAAATATAACATTACTGTTCTGGTACTAAGATAGTTTTCCGTTTCTAGATGTTTGTAAATATTACATCCGCCATTCTTGCCCTAACAAAAACATTTTCGGTGTAGATATAGAGTAGGTTAAATAAGGTTTACCGACTTGATCTCCCCCACCCTGCCATTGAAAAAACAGGGGAAAATTCTCAAAAATATAAATGAATCCCCCATCTTAGAATACACACCAACTACACCATGTTGAATACAAAATATTTAATTTTTTAATATTGAAATCTTTCATAGCTCCAGTGACCAAAGAATACATTAGACTGTAACCATTCATACAACCTATTATAATTGGTCACTGAATGTTCATTTCTGTGAAGTTTGGTCAAAATCCACCACATGGTTTAAGATATTGCAGATAACCATGATTGACCAACACAGCTCACCTCTGAGCACAAAATGGTCATGTCAGCTAAATAGAACAAACAACTAGAAATGTAAACTAATCTTTATTATGATTGGCTATAATATCACACAAGAAATTGATTACAAATAAGCAATATAAGAAGCAGCAGTATATATGATGGCAAAGACTGTAAAGCATGACATAATGTAGTGTATAATGCAATACACAAGTCGAACTCCAAACTTTACTTACTTAACCCTTAACCTGCTGGAACTGAAATTTATTAGCCTAGGCCATCAGTACATAGAACCTAGGCCATCATAAAGAGTCTAGGCCATTAGTACATAAAGCCTAGGCAATCAGTACATAGAGCCTAGGACATCCGAAAAGAGTCTAGGTCATTGGTAAATACAACCTAGGCCATCAGTAAATAGAGCCTAGGCTATCAGAAAAAAGGGTCTAGGCCATTGTAAATACAGCCTAGGTCACCAGTTAATAGAACCTAGGCAGTAAGTAAATAGCCAATCCATAATTTTTACTGCTGGTAGCTAAAATATTGAAACCCCTTCAAAGTTCAATCAGGCTGAGCCAAATTCAAAACAGGCTGTGCTCATTACACAATTTCAGCAGGTTAAAGGCTGAGTATGAATTAGTATCAATACTAAAGTTTTACATGTATATAAAAACATCTTCATTTGCATATGATAAATAACAAGTATTCAATCTCATTTATACAAAGAGTTATTCCAGAACTTAGTATATATAAGTTTTTTCAATCGTCTTCATACACTATTATCCTTATAGCTGCACCTGCATGGTACAATACCATTCAAAAAGGGACCAATGTGTTACACATGTAAATGATACATTTATCAAATTGTAACTGTAGAAGTTTTGTTTGTATTTTGGATTTAGATGGGGAAACCCCACATTTGCCATGTTCTGTAATACCTCTTTTGGGAATTAACACTTTTCCTACTGAAATTTTTCCATAATTGACCATTGAGTAAGCGGTGGATAATACACAATCTTTTAAATTTTGCTTCAAAAATACAGGAACGTAAAATATAATATTTGTATATAAACTAGAGCTTGGTAATCTTAATGCATAATTCAAACAAACATACATCTATTTTGCTAGAAAAGACAATATAAAATTATAGAATAGCACTAATAATAAATAATGAAACATAAAACTTGCACCAAACTTAGTATCACAAGAATATAGGTTTAAAAAAAAGAAAGAAAAAAGAAGCTAAATTTATACAAGAATATAATTATGTCAAAGCTAAAAGTATATTATACAAATAAATTTGAGCTGTGTCATGACAAAACCAACATAATGGGTTTGCGACTAGCATGGATCCAGACCAGCCTGCGCATCCGCGCAGTCTGATCAGGATCAATGCTGTTCGCTTACAGACCCTATTACCAGTAAAGAAACTGATAGCGAACAGCATGGATCCTGATCAGACTGAGCAGTGCGCAGGCTGGTCTGGATCCATGCTGGTCGGAAACCCACTATGTTGGTTTTGTCATGGCACGGCTCATTTGTTGAATTTGATATCCCAATTTAAGATTTTTATTGGGCAGTGGTCTTATCACCTCAGCATCAACACCCCAAATAATTAGCTTAATTAAATCAAATATCATAAAGAAGTTAAACACATTAATTAATAATTATATAAGCATTTGTTAATAACAACTTTGTGATGTCACAAAAAGTTAAAAGATCATATCAATTTAAAATAATCTACAGAGCTCAACTGAAAAACAAAATATTTCTCTTTTTTGATCCAACTCTGTTAATATAAAGCTATATATCTATTACGTATAATCAACAAAATTATTGTTTGGAATTTGAAACAGAATAATTTCAAAAAGCCTGTATAAAAGGATATATTTGCATTCTTCATTAAGAGTGAATGGCACATGCACAAAATCATTGCTTAACAATTAAAACCGCTAATTTCCAGAACATTTTATCTTGTTTACATACAATATTCGTGTGTGTTAAATAAAAAAAAAATTCATTTTACATCTCTTTTGCTTATAGACCATTAAATTATAGAAACAACACAATTTTACATTTATACATATGAGCCGCGTCATGACAAAACCAACATAATGGATTTGCGACCAGCATGGATCCAGACCAGCCTGCGCATCCGCGCAGTCTGATCAGGATCCATGCTGTTCGCTTACCAACTTTATTACAAGTGGAGAAACTGACAGTGAACAGCATGGATCCTGATCAGACTGCGCAGATGCGCAGGCTGGTCTGGATCCATGCTGGTCGCAAACCCATTATGTTGGTTTTGTCATGACACGGCTCATATATCTTTACACCCTATAACAAAATAAAATGTTCAGTATAATACTGTGCAAACAAGTATTATGAGAGAAAGAAAATTTTGATACTATAATTTCTACATGTAATAAGAAAAAAATATATACACCACACAAAAATTGAAATTGAAACAATAATCACTGCATAGGAATTAATTCTGGATCACAGATACAAACAACAATATTTGCAGAGGCCAAATTTACCCGCATTTTTCTATTGGTGTTGTGTAACATTATACAAAAAATAATAGACAGGTACTTTTCTAGCTTCATGGAAAAAGCTGAAAATTTAATGGACAACACGTGAGGTTTTTTTGTCATGACATTGCCTGGAAATATTCTTTCGAGATTTTGTAAAACATTTGAAGTATGTATCAACCAATAATTTGAGCACAAAATTTCAAATCATTTGCTCACTCCATTTTTCCCTAATAATCATTTCAATTCTGCAAAATGACCCCCAAAGTGTTTAAAGATATACTATGCACATCTTGCGTATAATATTTTTATCACAGAAATTTATTGAAAGCTATGTAATTCTTATCAAATATTGCAATTTGAATAAAAGAAAGAATAAATTATGTATTGGAATTTGCGTTTCCTATAACAGGTCATGTAAAATTGTTTTTTTTTTAAAAAAACTCCCAGTTTTTGTAATGACACTATATATTGATATTGTAACCACCTACATGTATAGTGTGTAGAATTTTAAACACAACATATCTACTTCGTGTGAAGTTAAAACATGTTTATTATTATATGTACAAAGAGACTGTGTAGCCATTATAAATATTTTCAAATATGAAATTTAAGCATAGTATATCTTTAAATCCTTAACAGAGTTGCATAAAAAAAATCAATTTAATTTTGTGTATTTTTTGTTATTCCTTTGTATATTTTTCTATTTAAAGTGCCCCAAGTCCATCTAAGGATATATAAAGTATTAGTCACCTAATAGAAATATGGTGATAAATGCTGCAAAATCAAAAATCAGTCATTAATCATAAATAACATGTTAGATCTATGTTATTACTTGAATCTTTTCACTTTTCTTAAATTCTTAGAGCATTTTTCTCAAATTTGATTTCATTGAAAAATTTCGACTCAAAAATTGGAGTGCACATAACAGCTTTAAGCCATTCCTTTACATAGACGATAAATTATCTCTTTACAAGATACTCATGACAAATTATACATGGTAAAACTGTTTTCACATATCTCTGGTAGAGATTGTCAGAAATTTATCTAGTTATACAGCGCAACTTTAACAGAGCAACATCCTTTGAAAGACAAATATTAAAATTGCTGTTACAGAGGTTCTTTATCTACAGAGGTTTAGTTTATTGTGCAGTCTTACTTTGGATACAAAATGATACTGTTGTTGTAAAGAGGTGATTTCTCAACAGAGGGCAGCTCAGCAAAGATTGAATTGTATGTAAATTCACATATCATTTTAAAACCTATGAATAAAGAATTAATATTTTACATTTTAGTTATCAAATTTCACAGAATTTTAAGCATAACTTATCTAGAAAAGTTGTACACCATATCTCAATTACTATCTTTTAATTTTTCACATCTCATTACTTCAAGTAAGTTTTGTTAACATAATTATTTCCATAATTGAAAGTCTCATTTTCTGATATGCATCCTCTTCCTTTATTTCACATGTTATTTCACAATCTATTTTGCACATTTTGAATGTTATTTAATATCATATTCCTTCTAGTCCATAATTCGGAAAGATATATTACAATTATATGTTATTTCACATCCTGTTTCCAATATTTTGACATTTACTTCATATGTTATTTATGACTCTTTTTATTTCAAACATATTAAGTTCATATATTAATTCCTCATATAATAATTCTGAGAGTTATCTCCCATGTTACTTCATGACCATGCCACCCTCTATCCACCAGGGGTCGTTGTCAGTTGCCTCTGTCATCAACACTGTCAAGTTACTGTTACCAAGGACACCATCAAGGTCAATAATGCTACCATCCAGATGTCTCAAACAAAATCGTTGTAACTGAAACTCAGTTCTCATTGAAATCTATAAAATACAAAAAGTAGTCCAATGCTACAAAAAGGTAATAAAGTATTACACTATAGCTATATTTAATTACCGTACAAGGATTTTCTTAAAATTAGCAAATGCATATTAAAGAAATAGGGAATCTTGCATTTCTGTGTGCTATTCTGTGAGTTGTATTGCTTGGGTTGTATTGCTCAGGTTGTATAACTTTTGCTTTCTTGTGTGCTGGCTGGACAATTTCTCGCTATCATCAAGAGAGATACAGTCCACTAGACTAGCAAATACATTAATTCTCCAAACATTCTGAGGTAATAAATCAGAAATCACCCTTAGTCGAGTTAAACATTGTCTGTCTTATCTTTTAAATGCCAAATTCTATACATACATCATCTAAGAAAACATTGGAAGACAAATGACATTAGACACGTGGCTCTGAACTGAATAAGTACTAAAACACCCATTCTACACTACAACTTACAATGATGTAACAATGTGGGTGCATCAGAAAATATTTTCAACAAAGTCATCCTGAATAACCTCCCTTGGACTTAAATGTGACAAACAGAGGCCTGTAGCTCTAATGATCAACAGACAGAGACAGGAAGACTGAGGCTGTAACTTTCAAACCAAAAATTTACATTTGCAAAAATATATAGGTCATGAAAAGATGAGAAAGAAATGCCACCTTAAAACTAAGCTACACTTACCCTAGAAAATCCATCCAGTTCCTCTCTGATAATCTTTTCCCATGAAAGATTCATATGCCTGGACAAGAAGTTCATTCTAAGCTCTTTTCCATTTTTTGTACTTCTGAATGTTACTTTAATGCTGGAATCTGAAATTGTCAAATATTCAACTGAGCAAATTTGTAAATCAAGCTGACATAGATGAATTCATAAATGTAATTAACAGACTTGACCAACAATCTATAGATAGACTAACAGATTTTAATATCAAAACAGGTCTACTAAAACCGTGTACCTCATAGTATAGAGACTGGTCACACTGCACTAACATGTAAGCTGGACTGGATCTACCGATATATCAGTGAAATTGGCAAAACATTATAGCCTGTGTCAGAGTTACATCACGGAATAAGACAATAGTCGTTTGAACAGAAATTTGCTATTCAATTTCAAAATATAAAATAGCACAGCAATAAACTTCTCACTCTCTAAATATGGAAACGAAGATTGAAATTTGTAAGATCTAAAGTTCAGGAAATGAACACTGAAATTTGAAAGATTTTATGTTTAATGTGGCTAGATTTAATAATGAAATATGAGTAGCCCTACTTCTGAAACATGCAGTATAACAATTCAATCAAAAACTTCCTGATAATTTATTGTAAAAATTCCACAGTACTGTTTATTATCATTATGATGCATGCAACTGGCAATAAATAACTGAGAAGATCTGGAGTCAGCCTCATAATTTCAGCATAATCATGCACTCTAACTTTGGTGACAGAAAATGGCCACAAAGCCAGCGCGTTTTTGCAAAAACACAAATGATGACATTAAAATATGTAATAATCAATATTTTCTGTTGCAAAAACTGCTATATGTTAAATAGAGGATATTTGTTTAGTTCAGTGTAAGATCAGAATATATTTCACCGAGTGAGCACCAAAAGGTATATTTCACGAGTGGTGCAGCCACGAGTGAAATATGAACTTTTGGTGTTCACAAGGTGAAATATATTTCAATCTCACGCTAAACTAAACAAATTTTCTTTTTATTACATGCAAAGAAACGTTTTAAAAAGACATTAAACCTAATACTGAACAAAAAGCGCGCCAAATAATAATACAAAGTGACGTCATTTACGACGTCACGTCACATTTACGACGTCACGTCATAAAGTTGGTTCCCAATACTGTGCAAGCTGGTATATTACTGAAACAAACGTAAGGGGCTTAAATTCAAAACAGTGAAAGTGGTAATCTCACTGTTTCAGGCTTTCTACTGCCTCTACCAAAAAAACTAGGGAAAAAGTAGGGCATTTTTTTACCAAAAAGTAGGGCAAAGTAGGGATTTCTGATGTTAAAAACTAGGGACAAAGTAGGAATTTCTTACCGTTTTAGTTAAGAATTAGCAAAACATACCATCACCAAGACCACATCAGGCTGTGTGTATCTTCAGTACAGTCCAAGCTTGAAAGACATGCACCTCATAGGCAGAACGTTGCTGAATGTTTTGCCAAGGCACCATGAGCAGAGCTGCATCAGTACTAAGGCTGTAGTACTTAAGTACCAGTTCCATAACTTGCCAAGTTTTGCAGTACCATTTCCAGTACTAGTACTTGATTTTAGCTTGGTACTGCAGTACCAGTACTTTTTTGGGGGAAGTAATTAAGTACCAGTACTAATACTTTTATATATTCATCAAAGTTTGAATAAATACACAGGATCATTCAAAATAATTGCAAACATTATTCCACAAAGAAATAAAATCATTTACTTTAAAGTTGACATTGCATTTTTACAACTTAAATGAACGAACATACTTTTTACAAACAATAATCATCATATATTCATGTCATATGTTATTGTTTTGTAACCGCAGTCAACTGTAATACAATGCAATAATCTTACATTTTAAACCCACCAGATTTTTTGTTGCCTTTTACACCTTCACACCTCTGTTCAATTTATACTAAAGTAAATAACTTTTTTATGGTGCTAACAATATCACTTGAAATATGATTATTTAGAATAGAAGTAATTTATTAGTGTTTATTTTGCTCTTTTTTTACTAGTAAATACAAAGTAATAAGATTGCAATAAGGATATTTTACCAGTAAAGAGTTATTGACTCTGTTTATCTCAATTTAATTTTACTTTAAGTCTTTGGTGCTTTTTTATGATGAATACTATGTTAACATTTGAAGGAATATTGCAGCAAATTATTTATAGATTTGATAACTTACTTTTTCACAAAAATAACATAATATGTGGAATTTACAGCTTTACTTTATGAGTAAAAATAATGACATTTTTATCAAAACTAAAAATACTGCCTAGTAATGCAGTAGCATTACCACTTTTTTAAGACAGTAATGCAGTACCAGTACCTGAGTAGTAGCAAAATTTTGTAAGAGTAATTCAGTATCAGTACCAGTACTTGCAAAATTGCTCCAGTATATACTGCAGTACCAGTACCAGTAATGCAGCTCTGACCATGAGTCTTTCAAGGGTGGACATCACAAGGAGACACTAACACACACCTGAACTATTAATCAATTGCAACTGAAATACAACTGAAATACCATTTTAAATATCTTCTTTTTTTCATTTCATTTCAAAATGAAAAAGTAGGGTTAATAGGGCTATTTCAGAAAAAAGTAGGGCAAAGTAGGGATCAAAAGAAAAAAGTAGGGAAAAGTAGGAAAAGTAGGAAAAGTAGGGACCAGTAGAAAGCCTGCTGTTTCAAACAGTGAAATTACCAGTTTTATATCACTGATATATTTCTATAAACCACCGAAAAGCATGTAATAATACATGTTACTTATCACAGATTTGATAAAACAAACATTTAGCAGAATTTTTTTTTTTTAAATGACATCTCAGCATAAACTATAATGTAACATATACTGTTTAGTACCTGGTTGGGGGTCTAACATGTGAGCGAGGCTCTCTGCTGGGTTGTCAAGGTAACGTTCATCTATCTCATGTGTTATCTGAAGTTAGCAACAAACATTTATGTTTTTTTTTTTCC